GGGACACTGCGGGGGAAGGGTTAATTCCTACAACTTGTTAATTCGTTCCTACGACTTATTAATTTGTGGCCACTGTCTATGTTTCATTAATTTTGTTCCTTAAATAACCCATGATTTAACTAAAATGAGGGCCACAAATTAATAAATGGAACAAATTCTTAATTCATGGCCATGAAATCTTTAATTTTCCTTAGACGCGAAAACCGTGATAAAAAGTGAATGACAATAAAATAAACCTGCGTAATTAGAGCGTTAGACGGTGAGGATTTAGGAAAAGAAACAATGCCTAAATATTATTGAATTTGTTTATTTGTCTATGTGGTGTTTTTAATATGCTTTTAGACAAACCATGTGCCAATCTATTAATCAACACCATTGCTAAGTATTTTCTCCTTAAAACTGTAGTTTCCCAGAGGCTGTCCCAGAAGAACGGCTTTTGGTACATCACAGTTCAATAACTAATCACCTCATGGGATAGATTCCTATCATTAGCATGCAAAATATACCAATGGGATTACCAGCACAAAACCAAAAATAAATTAGAGCAAAAAGACCCATGAAACCGTGGTTTAACGTGAATTTAGGACCGCTAACTTGAATAATAACCTGAGGTCTCCCACACCGGCGTCTGCATGTCACATGCGTATGCTTGCGGGCACAAATTGGAATCACAAACGGCCACATTCAAGTCTTCAAGGCATTTTGAGGACACAACATCGTCAAGTATACTAGTTTTAGCAGTCATTATCAACTTCACTTGATTCATCATTGTCCACTTTCTCTTCAATCAACCCTGAAATAAAAGTACACATGGTTCATTTTCAGCAACTTGTAAAAAGCTAAGAAATGTGAACATAAAATTTAACCCTGATGTAACTCCAGACTAACATTTGAGAGCAGCGCTACTAAGTTCCACAGATGGTGGCACCAGTAGCAGATTTGGTAGTGCAGTTTGGTAGATTTGGTAGTATAATTATATTTTGTTTTGTTTTTTTATTAAGTTAATTTAGAAGAAAATGTTTGGCCAATTTTTTGTTCATTAAATATTTTTGTTTTTCAAAGTAACAAAAAAGTAACGACCAATCGGCTAGTGGCAGACAGTGAGTTGATCATAGTCTGTTTGATCAATTTAGTCTTCTGAGGTGGCATAAGTGTACATTTTAGTGCATAAAGTAATTTAAATGTATGTACATGCCTGATGTGAACAACGACATTGTTTCATTCTTGTATAACTTCCATGTTTGAACATAGAGACAGGACTTCTCTATGTTTCTGTTTCACGGACAGGACTTGGCTTAAGCCAGGACTAGGCCTTGGTTAAATTAGGATATTTAAATAACTTTTATAAAAATGCCTTAAGAACTTTACTGGTGTGCATCTTGAGACACAAAAAATGGCACTGACATATTTTAAAATGTGTCAATACAAGATATTTTCAGTTAAGACCGCTTGAACATGCATTTTAGTCTGAGACTGGCCTGTGAATCCGGGGGATAATGTTTATATAACGTTAGCTGTGCTCTCTTATCACAGTTATGAGGGCCATACTTACACTTCCAAAGCATCTCTTTCATTTCTTCTTCCTTCCAAAACAAGATAGTCGTTAAGAGGGCTCTGAACCTAGATAGAACAGAAGTATATTCATCCGTTTTTGTATTTAAACCGTTAATTCATTTAAACTTACTCTTTCAAACAACAGCCATGTCTATTAAACGTGGTCGTTAAATTATTGCACTCACCATATTAGCACATCGTCTCTCCTCCGCTGCAATCGCGGCTGCTGTATGAGTAAAATTAACTTATACTCCTCATAAACAACATCGAGTGAAAAAGAAAAAGGAAAATACGAAAATAATCTCAGTCTATCTCGCTGGCCTGGGGTTCAAGCATGGGTTTGTCCGCTGCAGGCGCATGAGAGAACTGGCTAGCTAACGATGAGAAATACTGTTTAGACAAACAACAATTTTCGCCGATCACAAACAGCCTCTTGAGGAAAAGAAAGAGCGAAAAAAGGTAAATGGCGGAAAATAACGTCCATACACTCATTCACAGCTCGTTGAATTCACAGACAATCACGGTAACAAAATGGTGTCGTTAACTGACTCGCAGCACCAGTGTAGTAAACAAACAAACCCATAAATAATGAATCCCTCACTCCCATCCTGCTCCTTAGTTCATTAGTCACCTGAAAGGTCCCGTCCAGCAGCAAGGGATTGTGGGAACTCTGAGAACTCCACTGGCAAAGGGGGAAACTCACTTCTGGGCCAACAATAAGTAATTAGCAGCAATTAGCATCTGTGATTAACTGCCTCAGGTGAGGGGAAAAAGGAAAAGGGGAGGAGAGGAAAAAGAACAAGGGCGGATGAGAGATAGAGAGAGACTGTAGGTGGTAAACCTCTTTAACCCTTGGTGAGTGTGCTGCATATTAAACTAAGAGAACAGACGAGAGACAGATAGAACGATACAACGAGATAATGATAGAATGATATAGAGAATGATACAATGATTTGACAATAGATAGAAAGATACGATAGACTGATAACTAGAAAGAGCGATACAATTATAGAACGACAGAATGATATAGAGAATGATACTATAATAGAACGATACAATGGCAAAATGATATAGAGAATAATACTATGATAGAACGATAGATAGAATGATAGAATGAAATAATGATAAACAGAACAATACAACGACAGAATGATACAACGTTAGAATAATACAATGATAGAACGATACAATGTAGGGCTGCACGATAAATCCCATGTGATTGTCATGCGCATCTCGTCAGTGAAGCCGGTTCTATAAATATCGCGTTCATTATCGTGGAGATTTACTACTAATTACAGAACCGGCTTTACTGACAAGATGCGCATGACAATCGCATGCGATTTATTGTGCAACCCTAATATATATATATATATATGTATATAAAGGAAGTAAGCACTAAAAACAATCGTTATAATAGTTTTTGTATACTTCCTTTGTTTAACAGTTTTATCTGATTATTAGACAGACTTCTATCTGTGTCAGACAGAACTGTTAAACGGCGACAGCAAACAATGAAGAGGGAGAATGTGAGTGCTATGTGTGTAGGCGCTGCCGTTCCCTGTCAAAATAAAAATCCTGACTCAAACAGAAAAACTTATCGGCCGATGCCGATATTTGAAAAATGCCAAATATCAGCCAATATCGGCCTTGGCAATATATCGGTCGACCACTACTCAGCTCTATATTTCTTCACGGCCTGACAAAACATACCAATTCGCAAAACTAGCGGAATGCATAGCTAATATATATATTAAAAAAACAGGTGTTAATTATTGGACCAAAAACATGTAATGCATGTAATTATCTAGAACACTGTCTAACACTTGATGGTTGTGCTGTCTATTCTTTGTCATCAGTTAGGAACCTAGGTGTGCTATTTGATAGCAATCTTTCCTTTGAAATTCATGTTCCTAGCATTTGTAAAACCACATTTTTCCATCTTAAAAATATATCTAAATTACGACCTAGGTAGACAATTATACCTAAAATATCACAGTCAACAGGGGCCAGCAGATCCTTTTCCTATTTAGCGCCTAAACTCTGGAACAATCTACCTAGCGTTGTTCGGGAGGCAGACACACTCAGTTTAAATCTAGATTAAAGACACATCTCTTTAACCTGGCACACACATAATACACTGTCGCATTTCTATAATTCAAATCCGTTAAAGGATTGTTAGGCTGCATTAATTAGGTCAACCGGAACCGGGAACATTTCCCATAACACCCGATGTACTCACTACAGCGTAAGGTAAATGGCATCTATGCTAATATTAGACTGTTTCATTCTTATTCTGAGGTCACCGTAGCCACCCAGATCCCAATCCATATCCAGATCAGATGGTCACTGCAGTCACCTGGATCCAGTCTACGACCTCTACAGCCCTGAATTTCAGTGGAGAACATGTCAACTAGACAAACCCTAAGAGACAGATCCCCTGTGAAGACCTCGCCAGCACAAGACCAGGAGAACCAAACGAGTACTCTGCTCAATCTGACCTGTGTTGCAGCCTGGAATTAAACTACGCCATGCTGGTTTTGTCTGGCCTGGTTTTGTCTGGCCTTGTTTGTCTGAACCTGGTTTCTCCCAAGGTTTTTTTGTCCATTTCTGTCACCGATGGAGTTTTGGTTCCTTCCTGGGCTTGCTTAGTTGGGGACACATTTTCTGGCAATATTGTTGACTTGAATGCACAAACACTATTTGAAGAGAACTGAATTGAGCTGGATGATGACATCACTGAACCAACTTTAAACGGCCGCTTTCTATTGTCATTTTACATTATCATCACATGTTTTTCCTGTTTAACACTGTAAAGCTGTTTTGACAGTCTGTATTGTATAAAGCGCTATATAAATAAAGATATATTATACATAATATAAATAAATGCTCCCCCTCTGTTTTCACTCTGTTGGATAATGTTAAGTAATAATATGTAAATAGTAATGTAAAGTCAGTTAATGTAATTTATGTGACAGCAATAATAGCAAATCATGGTAGATTTGAAAAAGAGTTACAATTAGTATATGTCTAGATGCTTTCAAGGGTGAACTTAATCTTCAGCCTCCTCATCCTGGTTCTAAATTCCCCTCAGAAGTGTGTGCCGGAAATTTTTCAGGAGGGAAATAGTCCTCCAGAATCCACTGCAAACTCACTCTCTCAGGTCTGGCTCTGTTCCGAAATGGAATATTCACTTTCTCTGATCATGTCAATTCCTAGTGGATAATATCAAGTCCCAGCTTATATATATATTTCCCATTACACATCCTTTTTTGCTCAGAAATATTACATTACACAAATAAAATGTCTTGCAAATGTAATTTATTGTTATATAATTGCAACATGCAAGAGGAAAGTTAATAAAGCTATATACAATAATAGTAAATATTCAACATACACAATAATTTAACTTCTTGTTGTTTGTTCTTATTTTTGGAAAATTTCTCCAGGCTCTCCATGGAAGGATTTTGTCATCTTCTGGACAGCATTGAGCGACGTCTCAGTGCTAAAGACGTGAAGCTCTACAGAAGCACAGTCAATGAGCAGAAACTCGATGATATCATCAGGTCAGAGAAGCAAGATGTTTTGTTCCCTGCTTGAGTCTGCTTCCTCTCATGATGCTGTAGTGTTCACAGATTCAGTGGAAATTGCATTACCCTGCCTTTTAAGGGCTCTCACTATAAATTAAGTGCCATTACTTTGGCTCCAACAACACTCTAGCAATAAATCTTGGTTTCTAAGGGGTTTTGAATCACAGTGAATTGTTATACATGCTAGTTTATTGCTTTTATTTGTGTAGATTGAAAGAAGTGGAGAATATTTGTACTAATAAAATAAGTGTACTTTTAGTAATACTGCATTATTTGTGTGATTTTTCAAGGGAGGCTCAAATGTGTGTGCCTGCACTCCACACATTCTCATTTCTAGTGTGATGTTTCTTTATGTATTGCCCAGTATATGTGGTCAGTGTGGGCGTCTGGATGGTGTGGAGCTGCATTCGTGTGGTGCTGTTGTTCTGCAGCAGCTGCCCCTGTTGTCCTGCAGTCTGTCTCATGGATGTCTGTTACCCAGTGATCTGATCAACACTCACTGGTCATCAGCTACAAAACCAGAACAGATCAGGTATAGTGCTTTACTGTTCTCTGGACTTATAGCCTCTATTTAGGTTGTTTCACTTATGAGTTGCAAGAGACTGTTTGATTGTTTGAATATGTCCTTAAGCATAAGTTAAACCAAAATGCATTAAAACATATTTTTACAGTCCAAGAGTCTATTTTTTCTTTTGTTTCTTGTGTTTTGGAATGATTTAACTAGTGTAGTTTTAATTTAGTTTATTACTAATTCAATGTTATAAGAATTTATATAAGAGTAAGAAGACTGACAAAGTACTAAGCTATGTTTGTAATATTACATTTTTGTTTAAATTATATCAATTATATGTGCATATTAAAAGAAATACAAATATAACCACAATAAAGTATTAGAAAAATAACAATATAAAAAAATATATTGTATGAATGAGCCAGTAACAGGGTGGTTCATGTTTCTTGCAGTTATTTGATTATGATGTATATGAATGCAGTTGTGTGTGTGATACATTTCTTCATCCTGGTTTGGGCATGCAGGTCATGTCTGTCAGCTGAAAGCGCTCTGCTGTGGGACTGCTGTTTCAGACACTTCTTTCAGCTTCAGCAACAGAAAATCCTCAGCACTGACCACATCATCCAGCTCTTCACTCCACTCCTAGTGCCATACAATGCCACCTACACTGAGAAGGTATCACTGACTCTCCCTTGATTTCTGCTTCATAGTTTAGTGTTTTATATAAATATATATATATATATATATATATATATATATACATACACACACACACAGTA